TAGCTTTCAGTTTTGTGAAAATAGTTTTCAGCACAGAAACTGACTTCTTTAGACAAAGTTTTAACCAATGATGGTGTTTGCTTCTAGAATATACACTTTAAAAGAACTCACTGTCCCAGTGGTGGCCATTGTTGGCCTTTAGTAAATTGGAGCTGCTTAACCATATTGATGTCTAATTAATTTCTTTTAACCACAATGAACTATCCTTATTACCAACAGCGAAAGCACTACAGGAGGCATCAGTGACATTGCTTCCTTAACCAGCTCATGGTGTGTGAATGTTATAAAATTGTCACTCAGATATATTTTTTAAATGTAATGTTATATAAGATGATCATGTGATGTGTACAAACTATGGTGAAAAGTGCCAGTGGTAGTAACTGTGTAAAGTCTCTAATTCACAACATTAATTCCTTTAAAATACACAGCCTTCTGCCTCTGTATTTGGAGTTGTCAGGGCAACTCATCAAAGAAAACTGCCTAATATAAAAATCATATATATGGTAATAATTTCCCTCTTTTGTAGTCTGCACAACATCCATAAAAGATTGTATTTTTATTACTATTTAAACAAGTGATTAAATTTAGTCTGCGCAGTGAGCAAAAGTTCACATGCATTCTTTTATACTGCTGGATTTTGTTGTGCATCATTTAAAACATTTTGTATGTTTCTTCTTATCTGTGTATACAGTATGTTCTTGAATAATGTTCATTTGTCAGGAGAACTGTGAGAAATAAACTACGTGGATACTGTCTGTTTATATTATAGAATGTTTGTTGTGACTTCCTTTAGGTTTTCGATTTTTTTTTTTACTAGTGTTAAACCACCTTTTTTTTTTTTTTTTTTTAAAGATTTGCCTTACCTATCTGTTTTTTAAAAAGAGTAAGGACTATATTATGGAAAAGAGGGTGAACTTGAGAAGTTCCATAAAAGATGGTAACATTTTCACTGTGTATGCTGAAATGCTAAATTAAACTAGGTTATAAAAAAGAACACATACTATGGTGAAGAAAAAGGCAGTTATGTCCAGATGTGAAAACTAAACTTAGGTTGAAAAATTTTCTCATTCTTTTGATGAAAATAAGCACCCCACATATTTAATTTAAATAGGTGGTTTTTGAAAATCACTCTATTCCCTGGAAATTATTGACTCTTGGAAAAGACTATATATATTCTAAGATTGCTTAAGTATTATACTGACCCAATTTTTAGAGTCTCCTGCTTTTTCTAATTTTAAATCAAGGAAACGTTATTTACTAGTCCTCTAATACATTGTAGGGTACTAAAATCATACCCTGAATATTTTTAATTGAGAAAAGTAATATAATCTTTAATGTAGAAATGAGAATTTTAACATAATATATTAATTAAAGATTACTGATGATGTTGATAAAATATATTGCATCAGGAAGAAAAGGAAATGGACTTGAGCATAACTTCTCACCCTGGAATTAATTGGTTGGGGAAGAGAGGAATTATTAGAATTCTGGGCTTTTTGATATTAAAAGTTAAGTGAATATGCCAGAAGACCTACCTTCAACTTGTAGCAAGACAGTAGCACTTGATGGTAACTTCTGTGACTTCTGTGTTTGTATAGGAATAATACCTGTTAGTTTTGGGGAACCATTTAGATCCATTCGGGAATCCCATAAAGTATGAATTATGCTTTGGAAGAGAGCTATGAATGATATAGTCGTTATGTGAACAGATAAACAGTAGTAGATATAACTACGTAAATGTATTTTTCAAAGGCAGAGATGTTGAGAATTTTGAATGGCAAAGATGATTATTTTCTGCTTGAGCAAGGATGTGTTTAGTTTGCAGTTTTTTAGTTCTAGGCCAATTGCCCTCTTACCCTTAAAAGATCCTAAAGGGTAGTAATAGTGGTAATGTATTGTCATTGTTTTAATTTAAGGACTGCAGGAATGGGCAGGGCTATCATTTGTAAGTAGGCCTTCCATCTTATACAAAGTATTAGCTGTGGGAGACAATATAGACCTACTTGTTAAAGCATTGCTTCTTAAGTAGTAGTCAATAGTTCAGATGTAGTATTTCCTGACATAATGTGCTCAAATTTTTTGCTAAAAACTGAAGGAACTTTTAATGACACCTAAAACGACTGCTTTAAGATTTAAGCAGAGGAGATTTTGATTTGTGTGATGTGCACTAATAATAACAAACACTGATATAGTGCTTACTATGTGCCAAGCAAGCATATTGTAAAGGATTAAATTTTCACAGCTTTATGAGGCAGGTTCATTTATTATTCTGTTTTCATGTGAGGAAATAAAAGCCCAAGAGGTTAAATAACTTGCCCAAGGTCATAGAGGTAGTAAAGTGGTGATGCTTGGATTTTAACCTAGATCAGTTGCTTCAGATTCAGTGTTTGCCTATCTCACTACTCTATTTCCTTTTGTGTCAGACATCACTAAGGTGGTGGAGATGTGCAGGATTTGATTTTCAGTCTTTTTCCTGGTGTATGTTTCCTAAAAGTACAAACCTGAGCTCATGTCCAGATTTATAGCACAGAATAGAGAAGCATATCTGTGGATAGGGGGAAAACACTGACATGATCTGCCATGATGAATTAGAAAGACACACACACATATCATTTACATATCCTGATTTGACAGCAAACATTTGGTCATGAGGCTTTAGACAAAGTTGGGACTAAAGCTTGTGTCTCCTGTCTCAGGTAGATGTTTCCATGCATGCTTGGTGCCTCCCACTTAAGCTAATAGTATGCCTTGTCTGTTTTTCTTCCCTTTCTCCTTTTGTTTAGATTAAATTGCAGACCACAACAATTTTGATGTATGAGGAACATTAAAAAAAAGAAAGGGAAAATAGTATATCACATGTAGTAAGGATGTTTTGTGAAATGTCTTTTTTAGTTATAAAATGGCATGCCATATAAACTGTATTTTTTACTGTGGACAACAAAGTTGGAAGGCCATTGTTCTAGGTGCACTGGATGGGATTGGAAGTTTCCAGATAACAGGTAGGCTTTTTCTAAAGTTTATAGAGGCATTGTCCTTTTTAGGCTGTAAAATGTTTGTTTTTATTTCTAACCTGGATGAAAAATATATTTTTGTTTAATGATCCCAGGGAGGAAAAAAAAACCATAAGTTGTTTTTTCACAGTTTATGTAGCTGAGTAAGTGGATTTTTGAGAGTGGCTTCCCATTTAGCTCCATGAGGACAGAGACCATCCATGTCTGTATCCCTAGGGCCTGGTTCTTAGTAGATCTCAATAAATATTTTTTTGTAGTGTGACCAGTGTTTTGCTGAGTTATATTTTTTCTCTAGGAAGGTAAGAGATACCACTTATACCTGAGTGTGTGTCTGTGGGATCCGTAGAGGGCTTGCCTCAGATCTCCTTTACAGGGCCCCATCCTATCTTATTGAGAGGATGCGGTTCAACCTCGGGTGGCTGAGAAGACTTTGGTTCTCTCTGGGATCCCAGTTAGGCCACGTATCTTGATTCTCAGCCATGTTTTTAGACTGATATAATGGAAAGGGCAGCAGAGTAGAAATTCTGGGTCTTAGTTCTAATTGTGGAAGAAGGCACTCAGTAAATTTTGACAAACAACTACCTTTTATTGAACACTAGGAACAGTAAATGATTTACATATATTCTTAACTTTTTTGATCCTCACAACACCTTTGTGAGGTTGTTTACTATTATGATTTTCACTGTAGAGATGAGAAAACTAAGGTTCAGGTGATTTCAATGTTAGCTTTCAGTAATAATTGCTTTGTGTGGGACTGAGGATACAAGCCTTGCCCTTATGGAGCTTATAGTCTAATGCAGAAGACCAGCAATAAACAAGTAAATAAAAAATATGTAGTTTTAGGTAGAGATAAATGCTGTGAAGAAAGATAATTCTTGAAGAAAAACAATGGAAGAGTGGGGACCCATGCTATCATTTTAGGTAGAATAATCAAAACATACCTCAATGACAAGGGTAAATTTGAACAGAGACCTGAATGGAGTGAGGGAATTAGCCTTGTGGATATACTGGAGGAATAGGCAGAAAGATAGCAACAAGGGCCCTTATCCACTAAAGAGCTTGGCTTGTTCAGGCACCATTAAGAGGGCTAATGTAGCTTTAGCTGAATGAGCAGGAGGAAAGTGGTGCAGTTGATGGGGTGAGAAGGCATAGGGCCAGATCAGTTGAGGCCTTGAATGTAGACCATTGTGATGGAGTTTGGATCGTGCTCTGATGTCTTCTATCTTCTACATACACACAAGGTCATCTACTAGGCAGAGACCTCTGAGGTCCCTTTCTGCTTTAAAATCCTATTACTTTAGAGTTGTGATGTCATTTCATGCCATTCAAATCAGTACCATGTTTTAACAGTTCTATAGAAGACCTGATTTGCATCTCTAGATACTCCAGGGGCAGCCATTTACCCCTGCTGATATTTTTCAAGAGGGCAGCCAACTACAGTTTGCTGTCTCATTTCCCTTACCCAAGCTGTCAGAGCTGTGGTGGGCATGGACTGTGTTTGCCAATATGTGGTATGTGTTTAAAGAATGTTAATTCCTACAAAGAGTCATTTTATGTTTCCTGGCACAACTGATAATTTTCATCCTGTAACTTTCTGATTTGCTCAAATACTACTCGTGCTCCCCTATAAAGTGTGTGACAACTTGGGGTAGTAATAAAGTATTTGACAACTGTATGAGTTGTAGGAACATGCCCCTTTTTGTTTTTAGAGGCATAATTATAACCAAAGAAATTTAATTTCTTCTTTAGCAAACACTGACATTTCTATTTAAGAATGACTAAAAGGAAATACGAAAATTAACCATGTATCATGAATACACTGAGAGTTCTTTCTGTACTAGCTTGAAAGTGATCTATGGCCAAAATTAAAACCATATGAGCATATCGTAAATCTGAACTATTACTGTGTTTGCTTCTAATTCTGTTTGGAATAAGGCTTCAAATGCTTTACAGAATGATGTGAGTTACAAATAAATAGAAAACGAGTTATCCTGTGTTCCATTTACTTTATTTGTACATATCCATTTCAAGAAAAAAATGACCTTAAAAATACAATTTTGTTTCAGAAATGGATTCTTATCTGCACAACCATTGAACAACAACAACAAAAAAGTCATGCAAACGGAAACTGGTCTTTTGTAGTGACTGAATAGAGGCAGATGCAGTTATTCCAGTAGAATATATAAGAAGCTCTGATTTTGGCAACTGATAGCACAAAAGAGAACCCAAACTTCACTAGTTTGATGCGAGGAAACACAATTTTACATTTGCTTATGATAAGGTTTGCCAACCCCTGGAAAAGGCCCATTTAAAACATACAGCATTGGTATCTGTTATAAACATTGTGTACTGACATGCCCCTCCTACCCACATCAGTTTTGCTACTGTTAGTGTATTTTTCACAGCAACAATATTAAGTAAATAGGTGATCATTTAAAATCAAAACTATAAGTTGACATTAGTCCAATGAATGCAGTCATAAATCATCTCATGCTTTAAAATTATATTTGGTCATTGACATTAATGCATAATTGCCAAAATGTACCACTAGGTACAGAAGAGACTAGGTTAGACAGTTTTCTTCAATTTGTTCTCAGCCATCATGATAGTATTCCAAGTAGCCAGTTTCATAAACATGAATAGAGAGATGTTGTTTGTGACTCTTGGATTTTGCTATCTTGGAAAAGCAATACAATATACAATTTCACTTTTTTTTCTTATCAAATTTTTCCAGTTTAATCAAATTTCTTATCAATAATTGGCATTGTCAACCTAATCTGTCTGGCTCTAAGTTACTAGTGGATAAGCCTTGAGTCACCAGCCGAAGATGCCAGGCTTGCCCCCCCATATTATTGGCCTTCATCAGGCAATAGCATATGAATCTTGGGTAGAGGAAGGAAGATGTGATAGAGGGATGCTAGCTCCCTATTTGATGAAAGTAGACCAAATGATCGGAGGGCACAACTGACACAGATTGGCACTGCACTGCTGTCCACATACTAACTTAGCTCTGAGGTGCAACCTATATGATATAAAAGTGTGCGTGCTATTGAGTACAGACAGCTGTCTGAATTATGATGAAAAGGGTGGTTGGATAATACCAAATACACCATGCATGATTTCCAGATGCCTCTCTCAGGTCAAGCTGGGAAGCAAACAACAATGTCAGAATTTGAGGGGGACACAAAAAGTTTAACTTGAAACATTGTGTTAAGGTGTGAACTTTATAGTATTTTTCTCTGTCTCCACTCTCAACAACATGCATTTTGTCTTCAGAAAATAGCATCAATAGCTGTGCAGAGTTGAAGAAAAACTTCCTCTGGTGTCCCCTCTGCATTTATCTGTATTGAAAAGGAAAAGAAGAGAAAGTCTTAAATGTTTATAAATAAGACCATTTTTAATAATAAAAAAGTTACCTGTTTACAGTTTTGCTGTGCGAAATTTTAAAACACAAGACTCCCAAAACAAAAGTAAAGAGTAGTTCAAAAACTAGGTTCCTAAATTAAAACGAGATTCCACTACACACCTATGAGAATGGACAAAATCCAAAACACTGACAATACCACATGCTGGTGAGGATGTGGAGCATCAGGAATGACCATTCTTTTCTGCTAGGAATGCAAAAAGGTACAGTCACTTTGGCAGACAGTTTGGCAGTTTCTTGCAAAGATAAACATACTCTTATTGTACGATCCAGCAATTGCACTCCTTGGTATTGATCTAAGAGAGTTGAAAATGTCCACACAAAAACCTGCACATGAATGTTTATAGGAGCTTCATTCATAATTGCCAAAACTTGGAAACAACTAAGATGTCCTTCATTAGGTGGATAAACATCTAGACAGCGGAATATTATTTAGCACTCTAAAGAAATGAGCTGTCAAGCCATGAAAAGATATGAAACTTAAATGCATGTCACTAAATGAAAGAAGCCAATTGGAAAAGGCTATACTATGACATTCTGGAAAAGGTAAAAACTATAGAGACAGTAAAAGATTGGGTTGTGAGGAGAGAGGAATGACTAGGTGGAACACAGGATTTTTACGATAGTGAAACTATGATACTGTAGTGGTGGATATGTGTCGTACATTTGTCAAGACCTAAAGAAACTGGGCTTTTGGTGATAATGTGTTGATGTTGGTTTCAACAATTATAACAAATGTACTACTATTGTGTGGGATGTTGATAGTGGGGGAGGTTGTGCATGTATGGGCACAGGGGTACATGAGAACTCTGCTCAATTTTGCTGTGAACTCAAAACTACTCTAAAAAATAAAGTCTATTTACAACAAAAACTAGGTGCCCTATTGAGGAAAAGTATTGTTATGGGTCATGGAAAGACTTTGAAATTAGTTAAAATGAGACTTCTGAGTGTTCTGGAGCATTTGGAGCAGGGTAGGAATAGGCCAGAGTTTGGGGAATGAGGGAGAGGATGGTGGAGAAGAAGGCAAAAGCTGGGACCTCAGTTTGCAGGTGTGCTAAGGGCAGAGTCTTCTGGGAGATCACAAGGAGCCAACATCAGAGGAAGTAGGGTGAGAGCTGATTTCCTGGGCATGAAGACATTACTACCCCTTCCTCTCTTAAAATTTTCTGACATTATGCTGACCGGCCGGTGAGATTTGTCTCACCACATGTGTAACATCCACAGAAAGTAGAGGCCTGGTGATCTACATAAGATTCATCTCCAGAAGCTCTCGTTTGGTATGTTTGGGCTGGTGGGCCTTCTGATCTTTGTATTTAACAAATTCTCTAGATGATTTTGATGTGGGTCATCTTGGACCATACTTTGAGAAACAACGATTTTTTTCAACTCTGGTCTGCTTTCTTGAGCAAACGAGTTTTGATTTCACAACACTAGGGACTTTACTGATTCCAGAGCTAGAATGAAATCTCAGACAAAACAAAACACATTTAAACATTCCAGAAAATAGATACGATGTTTATAAAAGCACTGTTTGTAATAGTCCCAAACTGGAAAAATCACAAAAGTTCATTGGCAGTAGGTGGATCAACTGTAGCACAGTCATATAAGGGAATACTGTGGTAATGGAAAAGAACAGTATAGCTACATTCAACAACATGGATTAAATACACAAAACTGAGAGAAAGAAGCAAGTCAAAAGAATATGCACACTGCATGATTCAATTTATGTAAAGTTGAAAAATAAGGAAAGTTAAGTTATATTGGCTGGGGATCCATACATAGATGGTAAAAATCATAAAGAGAAACAAGGAAGTAATTATAAAAAGATAGTGGTTACTACTTGGGGAGAGGAAGGAAGATGTGAGCAGGAGAGACATGAGGGAGCTTCTGGGATTCTTCAAGATTTCTTACGTGGTGATTGTATATCTAAGAAAAGGAAAAAATGAAAACATTGTTTTCCCTACCCTCCACACCACCCCCAACTCAATGCGAGATACTGGATCATTATAGGAGAATCAAAGATTGCCATCTTCAACTTGTTTGTCTCCCTGGCTTCTAGTCTCTATTGGAGGGGCAGGGACTTTGCCTCTGTCCTGTTTATATCCCTCAGTACCTTGCCTATGGCTGTATCTCAACCTTACTTTTCCTTCCAACCAACAAACATTTCCTAGGTGGAGCAATGTATTATGTTCTGGAGATACCAAGTTGAATAAGACTGAACAGTCCTGCCTTCCTGGATCTCAGAGCTCAAGGGCAGAGACAAACAATTAGCAGGAATTTACACTATTATGAGGTAAGGCAGGAGCTATTGATAAAGGAATACCTTACACAATCATTGTCACGGAAGCTTCTGAGGAAAGTAATTGTCATTTAAAATAATAAACTTTACCACTACTAATGAGCATATAGTGCTTTTTACTTTTTTTTTTTTTTAAATCTTTTTAAACAAGTTATTACCACCCTAACTTCATTGCTTCCTTTTCTTGCTAGCTACATTCCTTCTTCCCTCCCTCCTCACTCCCTCACTCCATACTGGACACCCTCCCTTTCTAGCTCCTACTCTCACTCCCTCCCTCCCTTTTAGACAATTGGGTAATTCTAACAATGGTCTTAGGAGACAGATGTTATCCCCATTTCACAGATGATGAAACCAAGGCTATGGAAGATGAATTAAATTTCCTAAGGTCACACAGCTAAGTAAGTAGCAGAGACCTGGTTTAAATCCATATCTCTGATTCCAAAGTCTGCGTCTGTGGACTATATTATACTATATCCAACAGTTCAAAATGGCTGGATGGTTGAATTTGGTGGGAGTAGCGAGGGGTGGAGTTGGAATGGTAAGCAGAGGTTGACTATAAAGACGTTTGTATACTCTTACATGAGATTACTGAGGAGTCACATAAGAGTTTTTAAGAAATGGGTTGATATAATCAAACAGGTACATTAAAATGTTTAATAATTGAAAAGAATTGCAAAACTGACATATAAGGCAAAGAGCACTGTATTAGGAGTGATGATACCTGGTACTGTCCCCAGTGAGCTTCAGGACTTGAACTAGCCACTCATCCTCTTGGGGCCTCAGTCGTCACCAGTACAACTGGCTCTTTTATGGTAAAGTAAGTTCTCTGTCCTAGTATCCAATGCTTTGTTCTTGGCACAAACATTTCCCAAAGTCCACTCCAGATCTTCCCCAGAAAAGGAAGCTAATTGGACTAGAGATTGACTCCAAGTTACTTTCTATTTCATTTGCATGTAAGTATTCTCATTATAATTACCTAATGGAGGGCTGCCTGAAGTGGGACTTTCAACTGGATTATACCCTCTGCTTCATTTGAACAAACCCCAGCTGTGTCCTGGGACCTCTCTAGTTTTCATAAGGTGGTTGATATTTTGCAGTCTTCCTCTTTATCTGTTGTCCACGTTGTCTTGCTGAACTCTTACCAGTTCCTTGCATTTAACTCACTTAACAAGCCCTTTCCTAACTGGCCCTGAAATAGGTCCCTCCTCCAACCTATTCTTCTCTAGCCAACACTCCTCAACGTTACATGCTTTTCTTCCTTCCAAAAGAAACCCATGTCTGTATTTCCCATTTTTATCTCCTATCATGTCTCTATTAACACTGATAAATTATTCATATAAAAACATTTAAAAAGAACAGCGATTATGTCCTCTCTATTTTTCTTAATTGTTTGTAATCGATAACTTGGTTGTTGAATGTAATCCAGTGCTGGATTCACATAATTTGGTTTGACCATTATCCAGAATTTCTTTTAGATGCCGATGAAAACACATTTGTTCATTACAACCTTTCAGTCCATTGTATTACTTTCTCCCTTTTATCATCACAATGAACTAATGGCTCTTTGAACAAAAACAACTTGTAATTCACTGTGATGTTCAACTTTTCACTTCTTGGCCAGATATAACCCACCATTATCCCATATCTAGCTGCCCAGCTAGGTGGGAGACTGCGGGGACAAGGTCACAATCAGCACTGCACCTTCAGTGTCTGGCTCTAGACAGGTAGGCAAATAAAAGTCAAATGAAAGAATGTATCCTTATTTCCACATTTCACAGAATCGAGCTGTTGTGGGGCAGAAATGCACTTCCTGGAGCCCATTTTCTGACCCACAATCTGGACTTTATGGAAGGATATGGGATTCTCTCCTATAAAAACCGAGCAATTTAGTAGGTTTCAGAAACAAGGGCTAATGAGCATAAGCACCTGAGCATAAGCGCCTGAAGGGTGAAACTTGGTTTTCTCACAGCTGGGAGGTGAAAGGCTTTAGCTGGACCCTTTCCCGCTTCTATTTCCATCTAAAACCAAACTCTTCACTTTGTTTTGTAGCTTAAATACGGGGATTTATTTAATTAATTAAAAGAAAGCTTCTCGTTGCCACTCAGCCAGGGTCACTGTGGTGTATGCCTCTGTGGAGCCCAAGGGCGTGAGGAGATTGTAAGACAAAATCCAATAATCTGGCTTTCTAGATGACAAAAGCGGCCTTTGATTTGAGTGAGTGGGAGATCTGTGAGGCTATCTGCCAACCCTTGTTAGGCCCAAGAATCAAAGTTCTGAGAATAAAAATTTACAGGCAGTGAGGCAACTTAAAAAATATGTATATATAATGTGTGTGTGTGTATATATGTATATGTATCTATATGTGTGTACATGTGTGTGTGTGTGTATCTGTGGTAGTAGTGGTGTATATGTGCTGGGAAAGGTGCAGATTGGATTTTTATGAAACAAAAGAGAGCCTAGCTGAACTGGGTGGGGCCAAAGCCTTCTGTCTTCTCTCCAATTTCTCCCTCAGTTCTTCACAGGTTACCTGGACATTTCCTCAAAGTGAATTCTCCCCGCTCATCTATTCTCACATGGAGAATATTTTAGAACAGTAAGTGGCTTTTATATTTTTATAT